TCTGTGGCGTCTGTTGCATCATATCGGATGGCTCTTGTATTAGTTGCATCATATCGCATGGCTCTTGTGTTAGTTGCATCATATCGGATGGCTCTTGTATTGGTTGCATCATATCGAATGGCTCTTGTATTGGTTGCATCATATCAGATGGCTCTTGTATTGGTTGCATCATACCAGATGGCTCTTGTATTGGTTGCATCATATCAGATGGCTCTTGTATTGGTTGCATCATATCAGATGGCTGTTGTATTGGTTGCATTATATCGGGTGGCTGTTGCATTTCCATCATATTAGGTTGAATACCCTGAATCATGTCATTTAACCGTTGCCTTGCTCCTTTCAGACCTTGTTTGGACATTTGTGGTATGGCAGAAGTATACATTATGGTCACGATCAATATTATAAAAAGTAAGAAAGAATGATTCGACATTTTGTTGTATGGTTTAAGAAACAATAAATCTGATGCGTTAAAAAATGGTGTTAAGATAACTATAGGAAAATAAGAATAATATTCCTTGTTTGTTATTACTCATTAATTTCTCAATTGAAGAGATAGTATCAGGCTGTTATACTTATACACCTTTTTCTTTCATAAATCAATTAATTCTTACAACTTCGAAATTAAAGTTAAATTAGATCAAACATCCCTTTATCTAATTAAACAATTTTTATTGTTATTTGTCTGATTTATCTTATTTCGATTAATTCAATTCGGATCCGATATTTGGATTTCATCATTATTACAGTAATGTATTTTCTTGTTAAATTGATTTAATATACAAATATCTTATATTGCGTTACGGTCATACGTACTATATTTTCTTACGCGACAAAACATACTACTTTAAACAGGTTTTTCAAATTTTTGTATAATTTTATTTTTCACTATAAACTTATTCTTACAATACCCACAGATATTGACCTTATTTTTATCTGACAAAAATTTTTGAAACATGGTCCAAATCATTACTTTGTAAAATACTACGATATTGCAGTCAAAAAAAATTTTTTTCTTACCATTTTTTACGCAAAATATACTTAAAAGTTTTGTCATAATACTGCATGCGTAGAATATATTTACTTAAATCTGGTTTTGCTCGTGAAATTTAAATTACATAGTTATAGGTAATGGTTCAAATATTATGTGTGCTTTTTCATCATAATATATTAATTTGTTGACGTACGGCAGACTATCTCTTATTTGCAAACTTGTTCTTTTCATTATAACAAAAAAAAAATTTTTACTTTCCCGTACGTATTTTTAATTATTATTTTTTCTTCTTGTTACTTTGTCATAATTTATATATATTTATTTACTTCATAACGAATTATACATAGTAAATTAAATAATTGTTTTATTTTATTTTATTCGGTATTGTTTTTTACTACATGGTTATTGCAGTAATATTTGTATTTCTTATTTGTTTATCTATTTACGAATATTTAATATGAGAAAAATTAAATTATTTAACTTAGTTGAATTAATTCATTTATTACAAAAAAATAATTCTATTATGTTGTTTCAAAAAGTTTTATAAAATGTTATGTATAAAAAATAGCTTATACATAAATTAGATTTTTAAAATTTTATGTTATTATAAATCAATCGATTTATTAATTTGTTTGTTATTTTTTATGTTTTTTAAATATATAAATATCAAAAAATATAATTATTAAACTTACTGATTTTATTAATAATTTAAACATAATTTATAGAATTTTAAAAATATTAAATTAATCAGGATAATGTTAAGTAATGCATTTTTTCTTCTTATTATTAATTGAGTAAAAATATGTTAAATAAATATGTTATGATTTTGAGATATATTGCTATACATGTTAGTTTAATATTCTATGGATATATTTTTTAAAAATAATAATAATAAAAACAGTATATTTTAAATAGTTAATGTCTGTTTAATAATTTATTCTATTATAAAAAAACATAATAAGTTTTTAAAAAAGTTTTAATGACAATATTAATAAGATTATTTAGGTTTGAACCTGTAGGTCAATAACAAAACAAGTAATACTTCCAGGTTTCCAAATGCATATTCCTAGTTCAATATTTACAAGAGATAAAAAGCATATTTATTTTTATATGTGAGTTTACTGGATATCCTGCCTATATTATATTTAATAATCCTTAACTACATCCAAATTCAGTTAGACTATATGAAGATGAAATTTCTTATCTTTTTGACAATTGCAGGCTAAAAACAAATTGATGCATAAGGTTATACAAGAAAATGTTTTTAATTAAACTTTAATAAAAGCTTACAAACCTAATCCAAAAACTGATAATAACAAATTCTGTTATACAATCCAAAAAGATTAATTTTAAGCTAATTTATTTTAATTTGAAACTTGAAAATCTATTTCAAAAACGGTATTCTGAACTTAAATAGATCAAAAGACAAAAGTTATCTACTACAAATAATAACAATTCAAATAAAAATTGTTAAAACCTAATAAATTTAATAAAAGTTTCAAAATTTAATTAAAATTCAAGCAAGAATATCAGTTTTACAAGTGGTAAAATAGAAATACGATATTATATTAGTAACATATCCAAGAATTGCAATAAAAAATAATTAAAATAACTAGAATTAATATCTATAATAATATTTTATATGATTTTTTCTTAATAAGCAATTAAAAAATATTATTAAATCAATAGAATAAATAAGTTTAACTTAATAATAAGATTTTTTTCTTCTATATAAGCTTTATTTAGTATAGGTCTGTTTTTTAACTAGTTAAAATTAATTAATTAAGATAGTTAGTTTGATAAAAAAGAAAACTAGTAATATTGAAAACAGTATTTACTAGATAGAATCAATTTACATTTAAAATAGAAATAGTCTAACTTAGACTTGTGGGTCTATAGTACAATGATTAGTGCTCCACAGGTCAAATCACAAGATACTGGTTCAACTTCATATGAAGGCAGTTGAACAGTATCACATAGTATCTGGCACCATAACCTAATATGTGCTGTTTCTCAAGCAAAACTGTCTCACACACTAATCCAGTGGGCATTGAGATTGTAATCTCCAGTTAAGGTGTCGTGGCGCGTCGATCATCCGGTTGGTGTTATGATGATCGCACTATGTTTGGTGCATTTCCCGGTTCCCACAGGTTGCTTCCCTCCTCTATAGTTCACGAGACTATAAAAAGAATCCTTCGTGAACAGGTTTCAACAGGTTTCCTGCTCATGTCATATCCAATTACCCAACACTCCTCTGGCATGGCAGACTCCATGCAAAAAGACAAAAAGAGATTAACTCTAAGCCAATCTATCCCAATATAGAGCTTGTAGGTCTATCCCAATATGGTGTTCCATAAGGGACTTAATAATATGGCTGAAGGACAAGGCATCAGCTACAAGTGGTGAGAATCTAAGCAAAAATTGTCAAGCCAAGTGCATCTAATGAGGGCCTACAAGATTAAATCGGAATCCAAGCAAGGACGCCAGTTC